AGGAAAATATAATAGGCAAGGACCTGAACATTTTGAAGGATTTTTAGGACACACAAGCCAGTGCTGATACAACCAGCATTAAATCAGAATAAAGGGCCCTAAAGGAATCACTGGCTATTGATTCAAATACAGAATGTTCAAAGATGCTTGAATGGTGTGTTATCTTCACTCTGCAATTTTAACACCATCTCTACTGCTATTGCAACAAAGAATCCAGAGCCAAGAACTAGGCTTTATCCTATAAGGAATGGGACTTTCACTCTGGGGAAAAGCCTGGTCAGGGTACGCTCAAAGTGTTCTGATTCAGTTACTCCTTCATGATCTGTTATTTATCATATATGGATTCATACAGTGTGCTCCTAAGCACAAGCTTTCTTCTCCCAACCTTTCTTCTCCACTGTCAGTCACAATTTATGCCTGTGCTGACAAGGACCCACTCACTTCAGGAACATTTCCCACCAGTCTCAAAATAGGAACAGGGATCCAAGAAGCAAAGAGCTACTCTAACTAGTCTCTTTGAGTATGCATCTCAAGATGCAGAAGAGTTTTCAAACCCTGCTTCCTGCAGGGGCTGTGTTTCACAATGCAGCACCCTCTGCATGGATCTTTGGCATGCCAGTACCTTATAATTGCTACAAAGCTGACTTATTCAAGTTTTTAAGTATAAGGTCTGCAGTTTACATTATCATTCTAATTCTCAGCATTGCACTTTTAAAAAATGTCTATAATACAGATAAAATGCCTACTGTTCCTTTCACCATTGCCTCACTGCTTTGATTTGGAGAACTAAAGATACTCAAGTAGTCATTGTGTACAATTCAGCACTTATAAATGAAATAACCATGTCTACCAATCATTTAAAGTCAGACACTCCTTTCATTAGTACAAATTAATGAACAGAACAATGCTGTTTTGACTTTGGTTTTAAATTTTCATTTTTATTTTGGAGTTAATGTGATTATTTTAAAAAATTATCTATACAGATAGTTTTTATGGCTATTTTACCCATTTTCCTTTCATTTTTATTAGTGCAGCAGGAAGAGAGCTATCCAGAAACTTTTTAACTCTAATATTTGGGGGGAAAAAAGCATTATTTGACTTCATTTTTCAATAGCAAGTACAATTTGAGCTAAAGGGGAGTTAAAAAAGGGGGACACTTGTAGGAATAATATCTATTAAGAAGCAGTCCGTTTTGATTCTCATCCTCATTCTGTATAATATGACAATGCAATAATGTGGTTAATAATCATTTTACAGTTTATATTTTTATTGTTGTACAATGCAAAAGATTCCTGAGCTGAAATATAATTCAGTCTTGAAATGTAATTTGTATTCAAAACTAAATTTTGGAACTCACTTTTCTTTCAAATATTAAGTTCTCTGGGTCTTTTGTATTGCTTATGTCACAGCACTGGGTAACAATTTACAATGGAAATAGACAACACTTTCATCACTGTGATGTATTTATTTCAACAATTGCTTATTCGGGCAAGAAAAGAAGGGGATTACATTGAGAAATTATAGTAAAGGTATTCTTTCAAGTAATCCAACATGCCATATAGAAATACATTTATCTAATAACCTTTCTATTGATGTGCTTATTGTTTAGTATTCTTGAAAATTATCACCTTACAAGCATCCCAGCATGTGTCTTGCCTGCAACAAACTGCATTCTTTCTTCTCTCAGGGATGTTTGTACTCAGACTGAAATGCTACGCTTTGCTATGCATGGACAAAGATATGTTTATATCAACATTTCATGGCCACAGAGGTTTATAACTACTTTCCATTTCATATAATTACATATTAACATTGTATTTTCAGAGTGCAGTAGGTTAAATATCTAAGAACCACATAGTTTCTATTAGCATTAGTTAATTATCTGCAGAATTTGTTTCTGTTCAAAACATCCTATGGGCATTCTGAAATTAAATGCAAAGACCTTGAGAGCACTAGAAAGTGTATTAATTCAAGAACCACCATAATTCTCAGGTAGACAGTCCTTGCTGAAGGTGTTTTAAAAGTCCCCCCTTCAAAGCCTACGCCAGGGCAGTAGGACTGCCAGTGCCAGTAACACCATACCATGAACAGGCACTGCATTGCCCTCATCATCTCATCCCTTGAAAGAACAGGACCACTGATCAAGGTGACCATTCCCTTGCTCAACCAATTGAATTTAACATTGCATATAGAACAAGGTTTCCAGACCTTGGTATCAGACTCTTTCTCTGTTTCTCCTTTGTGTCTTCTGCTACAGGAAGGGACAAACAATGGCAAAATGTTAAATAATTTAAAAGCATAGTTAGATAGTCACCGTGACCACAGGATGTTCATCAGATATGTTTGGACAAAGGTAATTTAAGCACCAGGAAACAGAAAATCTACAAAACCCACATTTAGCTGGCTGGGGGAGAGGATTACAAGCACAGCAGGGAAAAAAACCTTATAATTGATCAAACATAAGACCACAGGGTCACCATTGATGCAGCAGACACAGTCATGAGCCTGGCTGGGCTCTGTTACCTGTCCAGTACCACCTGCACATCGTCAGCTCCCAGCTACATCTTCAGCAATGACTTTAGGGAGCACACAGCATATCATTACATTTCCATTAATCAGTCATCATGCTGTTTCTTGGATATTTTATTAATTTTGTTTTTTTCTCATCCAAGTAAGTGGTCTAACAAGGAATTCTGGATATGAGTGATCACTAATTGTGCATATGAAATGTTGGAAGTGCCACATCCTAAAAAAGCATGAATATACACTAACAGTATGTTTGCCTGCTTAAAAAACCACAAACCAGACAATACTACATGGCATGCAGTAACAATAAAATACTTTTTGGTTTTGTTTATCTGAAGATATGGCCAGAAATGCACTGAACTTGGCTGACTAAGATGGAAACAAATCTAGTTCAAGTTCAAGGAATAGAAAAAACATCATAGATATTAATGTATAACAATTGGGTGAAATTGTTTCTATTTGTTATTTTTAATTTCCTTTAGAAGGCTATTCTGTACTGTATGATAGACTGCCAATGCTAATGCTTCTATCAAAAAACAATTACATCAAATCAGTTCCATTCACAAATTAAATATATTCAATGACAATAAAAGTGTGTAAGAAACAGATTCATACCAGTGAGATTTTTTACACATTATTTTCAATAATCATACAATAGAAAAAAGAAATTGATTAAAGTAACTATGAAATAAAATATATTTCTCTCTCTCACAGCCAAAAGTTAAGTTTCAAGGAGCGGGTCCGGATGGCCAGCCCACGAGGTCAAAGTATAAAAAGCAGGCAATCTTCAGTCGGAGATCGCCGGTCACCGAGTGCTGACATTGCCACCGAGGGCAGCCCAACCAAAGTCCAGAAGAGCTGGAGCTTCAATGACCGAACCCGCTTCAGGCCCTCGCTGCGGCTGAAGAGCTCCCAGCCCAAACCCATGGTTGATGGTAGGAGTTGTTCACCCCTTGTTTGCCACTGCATGCTGCTCCCAGCCTGCTCACACTCCTGCACACTTGCACAATGATTGTACATCTTTTAGGAAGATGGAAAGAATTGCTGTTTGGGGCCAGAGACACAATGCAGCTAATAGTCTGTTTCAAAGACCTCAATAATGTGATTAATTTTTTTAGTAAGAAATCGTGTCAGTGGTGCATAGGGAGCAACTGGTGGAAAAAGGGGTCACTATGAAAAGTCACACTGGACTAAAGGCATCCCAGGGATCTGGCTGCAGCAGCTCTTCTGTCATGGCCCCTCTCTCACTACTAAGCTCAGCTGCTGTCCAAACCTGCTGCCTCTTGCTGGTGGTCCTCACAGCACAGCCAGCATTGTCTGTGCCTTTGCCAGCCAGAAGCACAGCTTGTGCAGAAGTGGCTCCTCATGTAGAGAGGTCCCAGTGCCTGCACTGGTGATGCAATCACCTGCCACCAAGGGATACACTACCAGGTG